CTAGTTTTTTGATTTATCATAGAGATAAGGTCTTGCCAAGTTGCCCAGGCTGGTCTTGAACCTGTGGCCTCGGGCAATCCTCTCGCCTCGGCCTCCCAAAGTGCTGGGATTATAGGCGTGCGCCACCGAGCCCGGCTTATTTATTTATTTATTTATTTATTTATTTATTTATTTATTTGAGTTGGAGTCTCACTCTGTCGCTCAGACTGGAGTGCAGTGGCCGCTCCCGACCACCGCAGCCTCGCCTGCTGGGCTCCAGTGATTTTTCTGCCTCAGCCTTCCGAGTAACTGGAACTTCAGGTGCGCGCTACCACTGCCCGGCTAATTTATTTATTTATTTATTTATTTTTATTTTAATTAAAAAAATTTTTTTTTATTTTTTGAGTCGGAGTCTCACTCTGTCGCCCAGACTGGAGTGCAGTGGCCGCTCCCGGCCACCGCAGCCTCGACCTGCTGGGCTCCGGCGATCCTTCCGCCTCAGCCTTCCGAGTAGCTGGAATTACAGGCGTGCACTACCACACCTGGCTGATTTTTTGATTGTATTGTAGAGATGAGGTCTTGCCTGCCCTGGCGGGTCTCGAACCCGCGGGCTCAGGCAATCCACTCACCTCAGCCTCCCAAAGGCACGGGATTACAGGCTGAGCCACCGAGCCAGGCTCAATTTTTAAATTTATTGTAGAGTTGAGGTCTTGCCAAGTTGCCCTGGCTAGTCTCGAACTCATGCAATCCTCTTACCTCTCCGCAGCCTTGACCTGCTGGGCTTACGAGATCCTTCTGCCTCAGCCTTCCAAGTTCCAAGTAGCTGGAACTACAGATGCACGCCTCCACGCCTGGCTAGTTTTTGTGATTTATTGTAGAGATGAGGTCTTGCCAAGTTGCCTAGGCTGGTCTCAAACCTCCTGAGGTCAGGCAATCCTATCACCTCCGCCACCGAAAGTGCTGGGATTACAGGCTCAGCCATCTCGCCTGGCCCAATTCCCTTTTTTTTTTTGATTTGGAGTCTCACTCTGTCACCCAGGCTGGAGTGCAGTGGCACGATCATGGCCACCGCAATCTCAATTTGCTGGGCTCCAGTGATCTTTCCGCCTCAGCCTTCCAAGTATCTGGAACTATAGGCGCATGCTATCATGCCTGGCTAATTTTTTAATTTATTGTACAGACAAGATCTTGCAAAGTTGCCCGGGTTGGTCTCGAACCCACAGGCTCAGGCAATCCACTTGCCTCAGCTTCCCAAAGTGCTGGGATTACAGGCTGAGCCACAGATCCCAGCCCAGTCTGTTATTTTCAATACCAATATGTTCAGGGCATTGAGCTTGTGCAAAATCTTTTTTTTTTGAGTTGGAGTCTCACTCTGTCACCCAGACTGGAGTGCAGTGGCCGCTCCCGGCCACCACAGCCTCGACCTGCTGGGCTCTGGCGATTCTTCCGCCTGAGCCTTCCAAGTAGCTGAAACTACAGGCGCGCACTACCACACCCAGCTAACTTTTGATTTATATTGTAGAGATGAGGTCTTGTCAAGTTGCCCAGGCAGGTCTCAAACCCATGGGCTTAGGCAATCCACTCATCTCAGCCTCCCAAAGAGTGGGATTACAGGCTGAGCCACCGAGCCCAGCTATTCTTTTTCTTTTTGAGTTGGAGTCTCACTCTGTCGCCCAGACTGGAGTGCAGTGGCCGCTCCTGGCCACCGCAGCCTCGACCTCCTGGGCTCCAGCCATCCTTCCGCCTCAGCCTTCCAAGTAGCTGGAACTACAGGCGCGCGCTACCATGCCCGGCTAATTTTTAAAATTATTGTAGAGATGAGGTCTCGCCAAGTTGCCCAGGCGGGTCTCGAATCGGCGGGCTCAGGCAATCCACTCACCTCAGCCTCCCAAAGCGTGGGAGTACAGACTGAGCCACAGAGCCCAGATCTTTTTTTTTTTTTTTTTAAGAGACAGGATCGGGCAGACCCTTCGGGTCCCCTCCCACTGTGGGAGCTTCTCTGTGTTCCTGTGTTCTCAATAAATCTTGGTTTCTAAAAAAAAACCAGGCTCACCCATGCTGTCTCAATTTCCTGGTTTCAAATGATCCTCTTATCTTGGCCTCACAAAAGGGTAGGATTACAGGCAAAAGCTACTGTGCCTGCCACAAAATCTTTTTATTTTTTATTTGGAGTCTCATTCTGTTGCCCAGGCTGGAGTGCAGTGGCACACTCACGGCCACCCCAGCGTCGACCTGCTGGGCTCCAGCGACCCTTCTAGCTCAGCCTTCCAAGTAGCCAGAACTATAGGCATGTACTGCCATGCCTGGTTAATTTTGCCAGATGAAGTCTCACCAAGCTGCCTGGGCTGTTCTTGAACCCTCTGCCTCCCAAAGTGCTGGGATTACATGCTGAGGCACCGAGCCTGACCCAGCCAAAAAACCTTATTAGTACAGTACAAAACACTATCTTAAATATGATTTTATGTTACTTTAGTTGTTCTCTAACTATACTGAAAACTCTTGAAGGAAAAAGGACTATATTTTCATTTCTTTTGTACTCACAAATCATCCTAAAGAGTGTTATAGGTATCGAAGGTCTTTAATAAACACTTATTGAATGAATCAGTAAACAGTATATTTCACTGCTAAAATCTTTGCTTTTTTTTTTTTTTTTTTTTGAGTTGGAGTCTCACTCTGTCGCCCAGAATGGAGTGCAGTGGCTGCTCCCGGCCACCGCAGCCTCGATCTGCTGGGCTTCGGCGATCCTTCCGCCTCAGCCTTCTAAGGAGCTGGAACTACAGGCACGCGCTACCACGCCCGGCTAGTTTTTGATTTACTGTAGAGACGAGGGCTTGCCAAGTTGCCCAGGCGGGTCTCGAACCTGCGGGCTCAGGCAATCCATTCACCTCAGCCTCCCAAAGGTGCGGGATTACAGGCTGAGCCACTGAGCCCAGCTCATATTTTCTTCTAAATATAAAAAATAATTTTGTTTTAGAGACTGAATTTTCCAGCTGGCATTTGTTGATTGTCTGCTAAATTGCCAAATTGACTTTGATGGTCCTTGAAGAGGGAACAATTTAAGAGATCTTCATTCACTGAGTGCCTTGGAGCCTAAGTCATTTATCTTCTCTAATAAGAAGTTTAGATGGTCAAGGTCATATTTTGCTCTGTCATTTTCCCAAACAAATTAGACAAATTAAGGGTCACCCATTTGTTTTGCTATTTGCACAGTAACAAGTCACAATGCTGAAATTACAGGGAGGAAAAGAAACTACAGAAGTTAGTTTTCAGTTTCCTCTGATTTCCAATACTTAAAAATTTAAAAAGGATCTCAATTATCAGAAGAAGAATTAAGGGGTAATATTAACTACGGCTACTTTTCAAAAAATGTACTGTAGAGACGAGATCTCACCATGTTGCTCAGGCTGGTCTCGAAGCCCTGAGTTCCAGCAATCCTCTCGCCTCCGCCTCCCAAAGGGCTAGGAATACAGGCATGAGACACAGTGCCTGGCCGGCAAACCCTCTTAGCTACATTTACTCTAAGTAATTTTGCTCAGCAATAATACACGTTAACATTTTTTTATTTTTTAGTTGGAGTCTCACTCCATCGCCCAGACTGGAGTGCAGTGGCCGCTCCCGGCCACCGCAGCCTCGACCCGCTGGGCTCCGGCGATCCTTCCGCCTCAGCCTTCCGAGTAGCCGGAACTACAGGCGCACTACCACGCCTGGCTAATTTTTTGATTTTTCTTGTAGTGATGAGGGCTCACCAAGTTGCCCAGGCGGGTCTTGAACCCGCGGGCTCAGGCAATTCAATCACCTCAGCCTCCCAAAGCACGGGATTACAGGCTGAGCCACCGAGCCGGGCTTAGTGTTAATTTATTTTTTTGTTGTAGAGACGAGAGCTCGCCAAGTTGCCGGGGTGGTCTCAAACTGGCAGCTCAGAAAATCCACTCTCCTTGGCCTCCCAAAATGCTGGGATTACAAGTTGAGCCACAGAGAATTTATACTTCGAAGTGTTAGGCATCTGGGCAACTTCAAGGGCCAGGAGTCAAATCCCTAGGGAAAGGGAGAATTTTTTTTTTTTTTTTTTTGAGTCGGAGTCTCACTCTGTCGCCCAGACTGGAGTGCAGTGGCATGCTCTCGGCCATCGCAGCCTCGCCCTGCTGGGCTCCGGGGATCCTTCCGCCTCAGCCTTCCAAGTAGCTGGAACTATAGGCGCGCGACCACGCCCAGCTTATTTTTTGATTCATTGTAGAGAGGAGGTCTTGCCAAATTGCCCAGGGAGATTTCGAATCCCTGCTCAGGCAATCCTCTCGCCTCTGCCTCCCAAAGTGCTGGGATTACAGGCGTGTGCCACCGTGCCTGGCTGGCATTTTTGAAGAAACAATAGCTGCGCGCTCAGGCTTAACACGGGGCACAAAGCTGATTCCCCGCCAAGGGAAGCGGGGTTTGTGTTTTTCACCTTCTCCTCGCTTTCCTCCACTATTTCCAAGGGTGCTTCGAGCATCCGGGCCGCTCCCACTCCTGGGCTGCAAATGCCAGAAGAGCCCGATGCTGCTCTCCACCCCGTCCTTTGCCCCTGCACGGCCTTTCTTCTTGTTCTCTTTTATTCTCGTGTCCACTTCGTGTTCGCCCTTGGCGGATCATCTGAACACGGCCGTTCTATCCCTGTCGCCATACGGACTAGGTTGCCTCATGGCGACCTTGACAGCCTTCCGGGAGGGAGGCCGGGGCGGGGGCGGTCGGCTACGACGGGGAAGCCTGCAGATGGCCGTGAGGAGGCGCCACCAGTGGTGGCGACCTCGGAGCGCCACTCAGCTTGGAGTTCTCTAAAAGATTGACAGGCAGGCCACCAACAGTCTTTGGCCTAGGGACCAGCGTCGTTTCGCGAGATTTGGACGCTTATCTGGATGGGGAGTCAAAGGCACCTCCCTGGAGGGGGGAGGGGAACATCTCTGGCGCAATCATTGCGCGAGATTGGGCTGCGGTCTCCGGGACATTCCTAGATCTCGCGATATTTCTTTCGCTCCTCTCTGGAACGCGGTGCAGTTTCTCGCGAGAGCCCGTGCTGAGGGCTCTGTGAGGCCCCGTGTGTTTGTGTGTGTGTATGTGTGTTGGTGAATGTGAGTACGGGGAAGCAGCGGCCGCCATTTCAGGGAGCTTGCCGACGCTGTCGCAGGGGAGGATCCTGAGCTGCCGAAGCCGCCGTCCTGCTCTCCCGCGCGGGCTCTTCTAATCCCATTGTTTCTTTTAGATTCGTTCGGGCCTAGCCGCCCTCGGAGCCTGATATTCGGGCCGGGCGATACCGCGGCCTGGGCCTAGGGGCTTAACAGTAGCAATAGCAGCAGCGGCGGCGGCGGCAGTTCCCTCCCGCATACGAGCACTACAGGCGCCCGAAAGCCCGCGCAGGTACGAGGGTGTCGCAGGCTAGCGGATTACCACCGCGTATCCGAACCTTGTTTCTCTTCTGGGCGCAGGGCGCTCTTGGCTGTCTTAGTGACTCGGCGGGGGGCAGGGGTCGCGAGAAACCGGCCTCATGTCGGCGACCGCGCCCTTCCTTTCGGTCGGTGGAGTTACGATTCGGGAGGGCAGGGACCCCTGAGGGTCCTTTGGCTGGTGGCGACCTGTCTCTTTCGCGGACTGGGCCAGCGACCTCACAACATGGCGCCAGGCGAGCGCTGCCTTGGCACGGAACCCTTCCCAGCAGAGGGACTTTCCCTTTGCCCCTAAAATGGCAGCGCGGGCTTTGCGCGGAAAGGGGCGCTCTCGCGCGAGCCACCTGGCTTGTTTTCCGCGTTCATGGGAGGCGTTTAAAAATCCTACGCTGAAGTCTCCGTGTGCTGCAGCCGGTGTAGGGGGTTTCAGGTCTACTTACACAAGCTTCCCTGTGGTAGCGCGTGTCGCCTTGTCGTTGTAGGGCTGCGAAAGGTTTTTCTCAAATTTTGGAGTGTGTCAGCTGAGAAAATTCAGAATTGAAAAACGTTTAGTCACAGAATTATCTCGTTCTTTTCCTAGGTGTTTAGAGAAAATGGCAGACGATATTGATATTGAAGCAATGCTTGAGGCTCCTTACAAGAAGGTGAGAAAAAACATGTCGGTGAGATTTATATGTTTCTTAATTTAGCATTATTCACGAAACTACTGCTGAAATGTAAACTAACATCCCCGGAGCCCTCTTGATTTATCTTATCAGAGATGCATTACGTGTAACTTACAAAAGTAAATATATGCTATTGATGTAATAATATTGTGCAGTAGTTTCACTTCAGCGTGATGAATAAATGCCCATCTATCTCTCTTTGTAGACTTGCCTAACGATATCTCACCTCTACTCCCATGAATTCACCTTTGATTCCAGTGTGAACTGTCAATCATAAGGTAGTAATTGAGTGACTTATCGCTGTACCGTGGTCCCTTAGGTAAAATGACTCAACTAAGAATTACCAGCTCCAGTTTGGTATAGCAAAAAGGTGAATGTAGTGGTTTGGGAAATGGCAGGGGTCCAAGAATAACAAAGCATAACCAGTCTGTGGCAAGTAACTCTTTAAATAAGTCTTATATGAAGAAATGGGTGAGATTTAAAAATTTATATATGCTATGTATAAAAGACTGGTCACAGTAAATCTTAAAACAGGCAGGTGACAATCTGCTTAGTTAATAATTACTAAAATTCTTGGATCCCTGAGTAGAAATTAAAAACAAACAACAACAACAACAACAAAACAACAAAAGGCAGTATCACAGCTTAGAGTCACTTGATGACTTTTACTGTTCTCCATTTTGTTTTATTTTTAATTAGGCCCTACCGTAGTATTTCACACCTAAATCTACAAAGGAATTATTTTGGCTAATATAGTCTTTGACCCATTTCAGTATTGCAGTAAAAGTAAACTGTCTTTTCATTCTTTGACCAGTTGGTGGTGAAAATAGCAGTGTGCATGCATTATCTTTGGTGTCGCAAACTGTAAACTTTGTGAGTTAGCAGTTATGCTCTTATAACAGATGTGATCCAACTTTAAAATAAACGTTGCACTAAACCTTAAAAAATAATACATTTGTTTTGGAGTGTATAGCACGACCATGTGGTACGAATTTGGATGAATTCTTGATAGCTTTAAATACTGTTTGTAGTATCGTAATGCTTAGACTCTTGAAGAACTACTTTTGTTTTAATGTGTAGATTCTTGTGTCTTAGTTTTTTTTTAACGTGGATGTAATTCCATGTAAACAGGTATGGAAATAGGAAATGTTTTGACTGGACTGGTGGATTATTAATTGACTTTCTTGGGTTCTTGGGAGTCAACATTACTAAGCAGTGTGAATCCCTGTTTGCTTCAGGGCGAGATGTGTGACAGAGGTGGCATCAAGCTCTTACAGTCCCAACCCTCCAACGGAAATGGGCGAAGATCTCAGGAATGGCATCGGTCACAGGAAATCGATAGTGGCTGGCTGCTAGCATGGCCACTTGGGGCTTAGGCAGAAATAGAGCCATGGTACTGACCAAAGGGACCATAGCACATGGAAAAAACTCAAAACAGGACTTCATTCATGTTTTATAGAAATTACATTTAACCACTTCAACATTGTAAATCTGGATAACTTAATATCTAAACTATATAAGAAAGTAAAATTTAACATGTTAATATGGAGAGTTTTTTTTTTTATCTTGATGTAATTGTAAGGAACAAAGTGGTTAAACACATACCCATCTAAATTTTTTTATAGCCTTCCATGTTAAACCGTAAATAAATAATTAGTTTTAAAATTGTTTTGTATTTTCTTATTCCTGTTCCCTTTACCCTTTGACAACTTGAAATGTTACCACTTCGCCCTCATGATGTTCTTCTATCAACCCTGCTTAGGATGAGAACAAGTTGAGCAGTGCTAACGGTCATGAAGAACGTAGCAAAAAGTAAGTTTTAAGAAGGGATCTGGGGGGTGGTGGTGAACTTTCTGTGATTTGAGATCTTGTTCCTGTGGCTAAAGCATCAAACTAAACCTCTTTTCTGAAGCTTTTCTTTATCTCTTTTGGAAAATTGGTTCTTTGCCTTTTGGAACTGGAAGCTTTTTGGGGAACTAGACTTTGCCTAGATTCCAGGATATGGTTTCAGTTACCTTCTGGACACCTTCCTCTCCAAGTCCATCATGACAGTCTGGTTAAGAGTTCCTGTATTAGAGCGTGTTTTTTGTTTTTAGATTTGTTAACTTTGTCTTAGTATTTGGTGATGTTACTGACAAAATTATCATATCTATTGAAAGAGGAAGAGTTAAATTAGAAAAGTTGGCCAGGCGCTGTGGCTCACGCCTATAATCCCAGCACTTTGGGAGGCCGAGGTAGGAGGATTGCCTGAGCCCACAGGTTCGAGACCAGCCTGGGCAGCTTGGTGAGACCTCATCTCTACAATAAATCAAAAAATTAGCCAGGTGTGGTGGTGCGTTCCAGTAGTTACAGCTACTTGGAAGGCTGAGGCGGAAGGATCACCTGAGCCCAGCAGGTTGAGGCTGCGGTGGCTGCGAGTGTGTCACTGCACTCCAGCCTGGGTGACAGAGTGAGACTCCGACTCAAAAAAAAAAAAAGAATACCAGGCCATGGAAAGTACAGTTTGTCGTAAATCACAGAAGGAGTCAAAGCTGTGAATTACTTCTGCTTCTTGCTGCTTAAAGGACCTTTTTGTAATAATGTGGTAACATCCTTAATATGACTTTCATTGTTTTAGGCCTTTTCATCTCTAGTAGACTTAATAATGAGTGTGGCATTTTTGGAAATTATGAATATTTATACAGTTTATTTGGGTAAGACAAGTAACCCATAGTAGGAATTTTTTGCTATAGGTTAGTATAGAAAGCAGTATACCAAGAGCCTAAGTAACAGTTAAAACCAGATTACTTTATAAGGTTGGAGTCTGTCAGTTTTTGAAGTTTCAGCTATAAGGTTTTAGTGATTCTTAACATGTGCTCATACTACAAGCCTTAAAATTGTTTTATAAGCCTGTGTTTATGGTGCCGTATTAAGACATTTTGTCATATTTATGACTATAGTACATAATGAAAAATGATGGTAAAATCACAACTTAATTCTTTTTGACTGTTTCTCCTAAGAGCTCTTTATAATAACTTCCTCAGTCAGCCTGGCTACAGTTGTGTTAGATTGATATAATTTCATGAAGTAGGTGAGAAAATTTCTGATTGGATATTCAAGGTTTGCTAAGCTATTTTCTTTTCATAGTTCCCCTAAAACAATGTGGTAGTAGTGAATTAAAAATAATTTGTAGAAATGTCCTACTCTTTTCTGGCACAAGCTTGGGTGGGAGTCAGTTATAGTTCCTTGGTAATCACAAGTGGAGGGGGGGAGCTTCAGGTTAGGTTTAGTTGAATTGTGGTCTGAGGCCACTGACCAGTCATTGAAGGGCTTATGCCATCTGGTTTTTTGCCTTTTACCAAAGTAATACTTGCCTAATATTTCTATTTTGCAACTCTGCAATCAAAAGAAAACCCGGGAAGGGCTATCCATATAAACTGACATAAAGTGTCCGATCTAGGTGTTAGGTCTAGTGGCTAAGTAGAGATTTCATTTCAAGTGCCAAAAAGATGAGGACATATACTTTTGGGAGTAGACCTTTAATGTACCATTCTCTGATGTCACTCCTTGCCACTAAGGTCATCTTCAGTTTATACTTGTTCTTATCCTGCGTCTAAGCTCATTAAAGCTACCAAGCTTTTACAAGGAAATGGAGCATCAAGGTCTTCATGTATTATGTTTAATGACCTTTATTTAATATAAAGTGGTTCTAAATAGAAGAATAGACAATTTTTCTTAATTGGGCATATGATTCTTTAAGACCCTTTCATAATACTTATCTTGTAATCTTAAAATGTACGAAATAATTGTGTCAGACATCTTATCTTCACTTATAGCTGGTTAAAAAATGGCTCCCTTGTTCAGTCAGGACCCTGAATTTCTGATGGAACTTTACTTTTCAAATTAATTTGATAGTTACCTAGAAGTTTGTGTTTAGGGACAGGTGTAATCTAAAACACGTAAAATGTTCTGCTTGTTCTTTAGTCTTTAGTACTAAATTAAATTTCTTAACCAAAGGAAGGTGCCGTGTTGCATTTTTCATCCTAAACTTCATTGAATGTTGAGATATAGCTTGTAAGGTAGTAAAAAAATGCACATTTTGCAAAGTAGAGTTGACTGATTGTATACATGTTTTTTTAAAAATAGTAATTCTGATTCTCAACACATGCACATTGTGGTGTCCCAGTAGTAGAAGGAATAAAGTTTAATATAACACAACTTGGTTGTCATTTACTTTATTTTCTGAAGAGCTGTAAACCCTGAGTTTGGCGAGACCTCAAAGTATGCCTCCTAAGTACCTGAGCTTGCCTTCGTGGGAATATTATTTTAGTGTAACCAATTTTGCAAAAAAACCTAAGCAACCATTCCATTAAGCTCTTTAGAGAATTATTTTTAAAAATAGCGATAAAATGACACAGTTGAAATATATTGGCTACTGTGGTGTGGATTATCTATAAATTTTGGAATAAATGACTTTTCTATTTTTTTTCTTATTTTCCAGAATACTTTGCATTTAAAATTTAGATCTTCTTACATGGAAGAGGTCAAATCCAGTTATAGCAAAACACCTTTACAGCAGAGGCCATATAACCAAAAAGTCCAAAGGCCCAGCCCAGTGGACCATTTACTTCAATGATGTTCAGTACAAAATTCCACTGCCACTAAAGACTTTGGAAAGTCCCTTTTAAGTTGTAACAGGATTTGACTATTAGTGTGGATTATGATAACCCTTCTTTAGTTAATAACTCGTTGAAGCTGAAATATGTTAGAGAAGGATACTGGTTTCTTGTACCCTTAAGTTTTTTCTGGGCTTTTATGGAAAAAATTGTATTTTCGGAATGTCTTAGTATGTTGCTGTCTTTTTACCTGTCTGGGGTTGCCTTCAGATGTGGGTGGGGACTTGTTTACAAAAAGTCCTGGGAAGATGTTAAATTAAAAATTAGCTTTCCAATTTTTAAGTATTTTATTTTGAAACTAAATTTTGGGGCCTATGAGCAGTCAGTAGGTTGGCTGCCTCTCTGCTATGGGCCATCTATGAGCAGAGCAAAAACAAACTTTTTTTTTTTTTTTTTTTTTTTTTTTTTTTGTGGGGGATGGAGTTACTTTTTACCTTGTCCCCTAATTGAATTTATTATATTTAGGACTTTAGGTTTTAGCCTCTCACAGAATTCTGTAATTAGAATAGTGTCACAGTGTCAGGTTTTTCAGGCAAGAAAGTTTGAATGTTATCTGTTGCCCTTCTGGGCATTGCTTTGATGACTTATACATTATGAGTGTAGCCTAATTTTCTGTCATGTGCCACCTAGTATATACATTTCTGACAGTCAGGTGGATTATCTTGAAATTTTAGACAAAGTTTCTGCCTCCTTGGAAAGCTCTACATCTCCTTGTGATTGGAGTGTGGGTTTCAAGATTCCAGAAGGTGGGTGTCTTCATTTTCTATTTTCAATGCACTCTAAGATGACCTGCTTACAGGTTCTCTGAGGCAGACCTCAGTTGCTCTTGTGCTATATATTTGCTTTGATAAGGACTAAACAGTTAATTAAATTTCCAAATAATGATGTAGAGATGTCAAAATGTTTAGTAGTCTTTAAACAACTACAAATTGACTTCTTAGTGGAATAAATTGAGTTTTGAAATGTCTTTCAATTTATATTGAAATATCTGAAGGCACCTCTAAAATTTGGGTGATGACACAGAGGTAAAAATTGTAAGAATTAATTGTGAAATGAATGGGTAGTATACTATGGGAATACAGAAATGAACAGAAATATATGACTGGTTTTTTTTACCTTTCAGAATTTGAGATTTTATAAAGATTATGAAGGTCAAGTTGATCCTTGTTTTTCATTGCATCCCACAGGCTTGTATAAACTGACTTAAAAATGGCATACTCCATATTCTGGTGTATTTGTTAAAATCTTAAGTGAAAAGTTTTTGAAATGATCACTTTAAAGTCTAGGAGTATCAAAATGTGTTTTACTGCATTAGTCCTTTATGCCCTTTGTCATTATTTATAACTTTGCCCATTATTATTATGTTATGTTGGCCAAGAAAAAAATAAAGAAAATTTTGCTTAAGAAAACCAAAATGTTGATGACCCTTTGAAGGTATAAATACTTTCAATTTGCATGTGTAAATTGGGACAGAATAAAACTACTTAAGGTAAATTAGTATATTTAATGAAAATCTTCCTATGTGAACCAATACTAGTACTTTTGAGCATTCTCTAAGTTTGAGTTTATAATGTACCTTGTGGGTTAGTGTAATGCTTTTTGTCCTTTTATGTGATGGTCAAAGTATTTAAAAGCCATTTTGATTTGATTTATACTTGCCAACAACAAGGTCCTGTTCCTTATTAAAGCTGTAGTTGACTCTCAGGACCTGATTGCAGTTTCTGTTCTCAAATAATTTCAGATAAGTTCTTGACTACTGATTTTCAGTAATACAAGAAAAAGATGGGATGTTGTGTTATATACCTACAATTTTTTTCCATAAATATGATAGTAAAAATAGCAAAATAAATTTACAAAAGGATTAAATAAATTTTGACCATAAAAGTTAATATATTTTTGTATGTACTTAAACCAACACGTTAATGGTGAATTTTTTTCTTCTCAGGAGGAAAAAAAGCAAGAGCAGAAGTCGTAGTCATGAAAGAAAGAGAAGCAAAAGTAAGGAACGGAAGCGAAGTAGAGATAGAGAAAGGAAAAAGAGCAAAAGCCGTGAAAGGAAGCGAAGTAGAAGCAAAGAGAGGAGACGAAGCCGCTCAAGAAGTCGAGATCGTCGATTTAGAGGCCGCTACAGAAGTCCTTAGTATGTAATTATAATTATGATTTTGGCTTGAGGGTCATTCTCTGGGTATTTAGATACCAATTTAACTTGAGGGATTTGAATTGTGAAATTTTATTTTTCAGTGATTGGTTAAAAACTATGAAATTGAGGGTATTGCCATTAAAGACAGAGTAAAAGCACGGTGTGTAGACAAATTCGTAAAACGTCTATTTTACTAGGCATACAGCTTATTTTTTGTTAATCCATCTAAAAATATTTTAATTGTATGCCAGTGCAAACTAAAGCAATAGAGTGCTTGAAAAAGATATTGTATTGCCAAATACTTGATAAAGCTTAATGATGTGTGAGCTACTACAATTTTTTTAACTAAGTATATATTTACTTAAAATCTTGACTTAAAATTGTAGAGTTAAGGTAAATACTAACTTACAAATGTGTAATTGGTTAACAGTAAGTCAAGTCTTGTCTCTGTGACTGTTGCAGCTGATATGACAGACCATTTGTGAGTTTGTAGTGTTATGCTCCTTGATGAAGATCATCTGTGGGGTTTGTAACACATCTGTACTTAAGGTTCTTTAATAATAGTAAGATATTCTCAAGCAAAAGTGCTTTGAAGATTAAATCATTATAAAATTTTGGTTGTGACTATTTAAAAATGATTCAACTAATTTATTATGATCGTTAAATAATTATTATGGCCTGGTTCGGTGGCTTAGCCTGTAATCCTGCGCCTTTGGGAGGCTGAGGTGAGTGAATTGCCTGAGTCCGCGGGTTCGAGACCCGCCTGGGCAACTTGGCGGGTCTCGAATAAATCAAATAAATCAAAATGAGCTGGGTGTGGTAGCGTGCACCTGTAGTTCCAGCTACTTGGAAGGCTGAGGCGGAAGGATCGCCGGAGCCCAGCAGGTTGAGGCTGCAGTGACCGGGAGTGCCCACTGCATTCCAGTTTGGGTGACAGAGTGAGACTCCAACTCAAAAAAAAAAATTATTATGACATTACCTGCAGTTCTAAGCAAGCATTGAATCTAGCAGTCCTTAATGTTATATGATGTGATTTCCTTTTAGTAAGTACACTGTTGTTAACTGTATTGGATTTATTAAAATTAGCACTTCTGACTTTTAAATTTGAATGGTTGAGAATGGAATTTAAAGACAGATCTGAAACAACTTTGGCCTTTCACTTGGGCAAATTACTTAACCCTCTAAATTTTTATTTTCTTTTAAGGAGGATGTAACAATTACAGATAAGCCATTAATGATTAGTTAATCAGAAGAGAATACAAATAAAGCACTCAGAATTCTTACTGATATTCATGAAATGTTTTGGTATTACATGAGGTCATTTGGAGTTAGAGTGAATTCTGATTGTGGCTCTTTTATTTTTAAAATTAAAAAAATGGAACTCCTTATTTTAAAAATTCTTTTTAGCTGCTTTGTACATAGACTTTTTTTTTTTTTTTGAGTTGGAGTCTCACTCTGTTACCCAGGCTAGAGGGCAGTGGCTTCCTCTTGGCCACCGCAGCCTCAAACTGCTGGGCTCTAGTGATCCTTTCGCCTCAGCATTTCCAAGTAGCTGGAACTACAGGCAAGCACCACCATGTCCTGCAATTTCTTTTTTTTGTTTTAAATTTATTGTGGAGGTGAGTTCTGGCCAAGTTGCCCAGGCTTGTCTGGAACCCGTGAGCTTAGGCAATCCTCTCACCAAGGTTTACCGAGGTGCTGGGATTATAGGCATGAGCCACCATGCCAGACCTACGTAGACTTTTTAGAGATGAAAAATGGGACTTCAGGGGTATTTTGATTCTGAATGGTGAACAGTATTAGAAAATTCTTGGCTATTTTTCTAATTTATCAAGGTTTAGTACATTCTTTTTTTTTTTTTTGAGTTGGAGTCTCATTCTGTCGCCCAGACTGGAGTGCAGTGGCCGCTGCCGGCCACCACAGCCTCACCTGCTGGGCTCCAGCGATCCTTCCGCCTCAGCCTTCCAAGTAGCCGGAATTACAGGCATGCGCTACCATGCACGGCTGATGTTTTGATTTATTGTAGAGATGAGGTCTCGCTGCCCAGACGGGTCTCGAACCCACGGGCTTAGGCAGTTCACTCACCTCAGCCTCCCAAAGGCGCGGGATTACAGGCTGAGCCACCGAGCCCGGCTACTACATTCTTAAAATGAGATTATGTTAAATCTTCTTAAGCAGTATGAACTAAATGAAGAAGAGGGGAATTAACTTAATAAATGCAGAATACTATTATTTTAGTTGAGTGGTACATGCTTAAAGTTGGCCTGGTCTGACTTTATTTTTAAATGACTTAGTTGTTGTGTTGAGTTTCAAGTGATTTTTTTAACTATGGAGGCTGTAACTCAGACTGGATATTAAAGGGAAAAGAAAATAGCTTATAGGTACTAACTTCAGAATGTATAAATGTATATTCTCCATTACCACTATTAATCTGAACTGCGAAGGACTGATTTAATATAAAAACATTATATTTGGAACTGCTTGGATGTTGTAGGTAGGTAGACAATAGTGTCCATGAAGAATAATCCAAATGTATGGATTACAGGCCACTGTTCTTCTGGAATAGGATAGGAGGATGAGCACTGAGGGACATCTGGCTAGTCTCGTTCAAGTTGGCTTGGTCTTTAAAAAGGGATAGCAGCTACTATTAAAGAACTTTTGTGATCTGTTTGAAAGCACTTTTTAAATCATAACAAGTTCTCAAAATTTTTTTGAAAAATTGGTAAATTACCTTCACAACTGCACTATGGAATATTTTGCCACAGAGAATTGAAGTATAGCGTGCTAAATGTGCTGTCATACAGTTTAAGAATTACTGTTAAATGGGAAAAAATTCTGAATTGTATGACTAAAGAATTTCCATTAGTTGTTAAAAGATAGCATTCCCAAAAATACATGAATATTCTATATATATATTGTACCTACATATACCCAAGAAAGGATCTGCAAAGATACACAGCAAATTGTTAACCGTAGCTACTGCTGGTGTGAGGGACGTTCATAGTGATTTATTTTTATATGTGTTTTTTATAAGTCTCAAACATGTTGTTTTTTTTTTTTTGAGTTGGGGTCTCACTCTGTTGCTCAGACTGGAGTGCAATGGCACGCTCCCGGCCACTGCAACCTCGACTGCTGGGCTCCGGCAATCCTCAGCCTTCCGAGTAGCCAGAACTACAGGCGTGCGCCACCATGCCCGGCTAATTTTTTGATTTATTGTAGAGATGAGGTCTCGCCAAGTTGCCCAGGTGGGTCTCGAACCCGCGGGCTCAGGCAATCCACTCACCTCAGCCTCCCAAAGCGCGGGATTACAGGCTGAGCCACCGAGCCCGGCTTCAAACATGAATTTTTAAATATGTAATTTAAAAAGATAACAAGACTGAAAATTTGAGAGCATTTTCAGAATCTGAAATATTAAGGCCTTAACCTTTGGTCTTGGCACCTCTCAGTGGTCCAGGATGGATAAATACAAGGGCAGCTTGCCTGGGAGTTTAGAGAAATCTAAGTCTTTCTGTTTCCTCTTCATAATTGAGGTGGAAAAGAAGCAGCCTAAGCAATGTTAACCTTGCTGGAGAGCTCATGAACGCGATCTTAGCAAGACCCTAAACCTGTAACTAGTGTAATTTTGTGTTTCCTTTTTAGCTCCGGACCAAAATTTAACAGTGCCATCCGAGGAAAGATTGGGTTGCCTCATAGCATCAAATTAAGGTTTTTAAATATACTTCTGAATTGTTTAAATTGTTTTTCAAGGAACTGATGTGGCGTTCTTGCTTGGTTAACTTGTGAAACTTTTTAACTTTGCAGCAGACGACGTTCCCGAAGCAAAAGTCCATTCAGAAAAGACAAGAGCCCTGTGAGGTAGCTGTTGTCCGTATTTTATTTTTCTAACCCCTTTTAGCTTTTAAAAAGCTTCTGCAACATATACTACTGGTAAATTTAGTGATATCTAGTAATGTGGATCATACTAAATCTTACTTTTGCTTCCTTTTATAGTATTGGTTCCATTAAATCAATGTGAATTTCTAGTGAGTTTTCATTTTAACTTCATTTAAATAAAAACAACAGAATTTGTTTTAATATGTAGATACTACATCTGAGCTTATTTCCCTGCCATGTTAACTCAAGTAAAATTGTTTACTTTTATCTTACATTGACGATAATTACAAATATTATAAAGTGTGATATTTTGATACATATATGCAATGCATAATGATCAAATCTGAGTAATTCACTATGCCCAGTGTTATGTATTCTCTCTTTTTTTTTTTTGAGTTGGAGTCTCACTCTGTTGCTCAGACTGGAGTGCAGTGGCACTCTCCTGGCCACCGTAGGCTCAGCCTGCTGGGCTCCAGCGATCCTTCCACCTCAATCTTCCAAGTAGCTGGAACTACAGGCGCGCGTTACCACGCCCGGCTAATTTTTTGATTTGTTGTAGAGATGAGATCTCGCCAAGTTGCCCAGGCGGGTCTCGAACCTGCGGGCTCAGGCAATTCACTCACTTTGTCCTCCCATGGCGTGGGATTACAGGCTGAACCACCAAGCCCGGCTCGTGTTATGTATTCTAATTGTACTTTAGGATTCTAGAATTGGGTAAACTTACTATAGCTCCCTTTGTGCCAGATACTGTTGGTGGAGTAATTCTCCTGGCATCTCCAAACTACTTGCAGAAAGTGTTCAGAAAATAGGCTCAAGAGCATGTTTATGCTTTATCTATGAGGATTGACTTAAAGCATTAACCTTAGTGATATTTTGTAACAACTGTTAATACACACTTATTTCTCCTTGAAAATAATAAAAATCAGATTTCATCTATTGTGCCCCTTTACTTTTCTCCTTATGTGAGTATTTAAGTTAGCTCTACAATTTTAGAGGTGTGCCTTATCTTTAAAGCTTTTTGTAAAAATTGATCAATTGAATCCAACTATTAACATCTAGAAAATATCCTGTTTTTTAATTGGTTATGCTTACTATCCCTATATTCTTTTTTTTTTTTTTTTTTTTTTTTTTTTGAGTTGGCGTCTCACTCTGTCGCCCAGACTTCTGGAGTGCAGTGGCCGCTCCCGGCCACCGCAACCTTGACCCGCTGGGCTCCGGCGATCCTTCCGCCTCAGCCTTCCAAGTAGCTAGAATTACAGGTGCATGCTACCACGCCCGGCTAATTTTTTGATTTATTGTAGAGATGAGGTCTTGCCAAGTTGCCCACGCGGGTCTTGAACCCGCGGGCTTAAGCAATTTACTCACCTCAGCCTCCCAAAGGCGTGGGATTACAGGCTGAGCCACCGAGCCCGGCTTATCCCTATATTCTTAACCATCAAATAAGTCTGTGTAATCTTACAGAGACTGATGTAATTCAAATCAGCAACTGGCTCACTGTTCTGTATATCTCATTTTCTAAAGTACGTAGTTTTTAGAATCTTGTGAGATTTTGCTTTCATGTATGATTATCAAATTACTTTTATGGTTTTATGGTTTTGTTGTAAGGAAGGATCTATTACACTGATACTGTACCAACTTGGCATTTATGATTGGTTAGGGGATATTTTGTATGACTATCATTAAACTGTCAGGCGTCTTATTGTCCCTTTATGTATGGAAATTACTCTTCTAGAGATTGTAAAACCAAAGGATTTTTTTGCCCATACCATGTGAGATGTTATTAGGGCCAGGTGTGGTGGCTTATGTCTATAATGCCAGCACTTTGGGAGGCTGAGGCAAGAAGGTTGCTTGATCTCAAGAGTTTGAGATCAGCCTCCGCAACAAGTAAGACCTTGTGTTGATGAAGAAAAGATAATTAGTCTGATGTGACACACACCTGTAGTACCAGCTACTTGAGAGGCTAAGTTATAAGGATATGAGTCCAGGAGTTTGAGGCTCTGGTCAGTCATGATTGCGCCACTATTCTCCAACCTGTGTCACAGGATAAGAACCTGACTTTAACAAAAAAAGAAGAAACATTTACTAAACTTTATCATTTTTTTGAAGGAATTGAGTCACATAGATTTGTTTGACAGGGAAGTTTGTATACATAGAAGAAAATGAGCTTGGGAATATGACAAACTGGTTTGGCCCACATTTTTTTCTGTGTACTGAAAATGAATTTGAAAATTATTTTTAAAATGAGTTATAAAATTGAATTCTAATTCTTTACTCCTGTTAGAGAACCTATTGATAACCTGACTCCTGAGGAAAGAGATGCAAGGACAGTTTTCTGCATGCAACTGGCAGCAAGAATTCGACCAAGGGATTTGGAAGAATTTTTTTCTACAGTAGGAAAGGTAATCTTAATATTAATATCTGTGGAGGTCAAGTGGTTGCAAATTGTAAATGTTAAAAAATTGTCAGTGTGGCAGCTAAAAATATGAAAACATTTAAAACCACTTCTGTTATTTCATCTAGAATCAAAATTTTTTTATAGTACTGTTTGCTAGCCAGGTATGGTGGCATGTACCTGTAATTCTAGCTACGTGGTTGAGTCAAAAGGATCACCTGAGCCCAGTAGGTTGAGGCTGCAGTGGCCATGAGCATGTCACTGCACTCCAGCCTGGGTGACAGAGTGAGACTTCAACTCAAAAAAAAAGAAAAACAACATATATGTATATAGTACTGTTTCCACTTTGCATCATCTACAAGTTAATACTTCCCACTCAGCTATCCCTTCTGAGGTAACATTGTAAATCAAAAATCTGGCACACCACTCAGATTATACAGGACTTACGCAAGCAAGATTTTTCAGAAATGTATGTTGCCTTAAAGGTTTCTATTAAAAAGTGATGGGACACATATGTCCCGTTTAAAATTTATCAGCTTTCTGATCACTCAGTTGAAAAGAAAAGTGATTTTCAGGAATCACAAGTGTGTCCTTCCACATGGCTTCAAACAACAGACTGAACGATAAATTGCATATTATTAGTGTGAGAGGAAGAAAACGAGACTGTATTGTCTGCTCAAACAGAAAAATATCTGGTGGAAGAGGTCTAATAAATATTAGACAACATGTATCAGTGAATCTAGAAAGCATGTCGGTGACTTTCTCATATCACCACATTGCTAGAAAAATACAAGATATGAAAATGGGTTTTTTTGTTTTTTTTGAGTTGGAGTCTCACTCTGTCACCTAGACTGGAGTGCAGTGGCCGCTCCTGGCCACTGCAGCCTCAACCTGCTGGGGCTCTGGCGATCATTCTGCCTCAGCCTTCCAAGTAGCTGGAATTACAGGTGCGTGCTACCACACGCAGCTTATTTTTTGACTTATTGCAGAAATGAGGGTCTCACCAAGTTTCCCAGTTGGGTCTCGAACCTGCGGACTCAGGCAATCTACTCACCTCAACCTCCAAGGCACGGGATTACAGGCTGAGCCACCGAGGCTGGCTAAGATGTAAAATTTTAATTTCGCTGGGCATGGTGGCTCAAACCTGTAATTCCAGCACTTTGGCAGGCTGAGGTGAGAGGATTGCCTGACCCCAGGGTTTCCAGACCACCCTGGGGAACTTGGCGAGACCTTATTAGCCAGATGTGATTACATGTGCCTGACGTTCCAGCTACTTGGAAAGCTGAGGCGAAGATTGCCTGAGTCCAAGAAGGTCGAGGCTGCCGTGGCTATGAGCATGCCACTGTACTCTAACCTGGGTGACAGAGTGAGATGCCATCTCAAAAGAAAATAAACTTTTTGTCATAGATAAGTTATTCAATGTCCAAAATACCATTATTATTATTATTTTTTTTTTGAGTTGGAGTCTCACTCTGTCGCCCAGACTTGAGTGCAGTGGCCGCTCCTGGCCACCGCAGCATCGACCTGCTGGGCTCCTGCGATCCTTCCGCCTCAGCCTTCCGGGAAGCCGGAATTACAGGCATGCGCTACCACACCCAGCTGATTTTTTGATTTATTGTAGAGATGAGGTCTCGCTGCCCAGGCGGGTCTCGAACCCACGGGCTCAGGCAATCCACTCACCTCAGCCTCCCAAAGGCATGGGATTACAGGCTGAGCCACCAAGCCCGGCTAAAATACCATTATAAGTCAAATATCATTACAATAAAATGATTGGTTTCGTTACTATTTAATATGAAATGATTAGGTTTTCACTAGAGTGTGGTCAAGTTGTTGGTGAGTGATGCAGGAGATGTCTCTGAGTGCAAAGGGTTAATAATGATAAGCGTTGGTAAACATTACCAAACATTTGTCAAAAGGTTTATATAGAACTTGGAAATCATTCTGTAAATTTACTTTTTACAGCCGGGCTTGGTGGCTCAGTCTGTAATCCGCGCCTTTCAGAGGCTGAGGTGAGTGGGTTGCCTGAACCTGCGGGTTCGAGACCTGCCTGGGCAGTCGAGACCTCATCTCTACAATAAATCAAAAAATCAGCCGGGCGTGATAGCTCATGCCTATAATTGTGGCTACTTGGAAGACTGAGGCGGAAGGATCGCCGGAGCCCAGCAGGTCGAGGCTGCGGTGGCCGGGAGCGGCCACTGCACTCCAGTCTGGGCGACAGAGTGGAGACTCCAACTCAAAAAATAAAAAATGAAAATTTACTTTTTACATTTTAAAAACATTGTTGTTTATTTGTTATTATTTTTAAATTTTAATTTTTTTCTATTTTTGTGTCAAAGTCTCACTTTGTTATCCAGGCTGGAGTTCAGTGGCACGCTCACATCCACCGTGTCCTTGATCTGCTGGTCTCAGGCAGTCCTTCCACCTCAGTCTTCCAAACTGGAACTACAGGCTACCACTCCCAGCTAATTTTTTGATTTATTGTAGAGATAAGGTCTCACCAAGTTGCCCAGGCTGGTCTCCTACCTGTGGTCTCAGGCAGTTCTGTCACCTCGACCTCTCAGAGTGCTAGGATTATAGGCGTGAGCCTCTGTGCCCAACCTAAAAACGTTTTTAATGGTTTTATACTGTATTGTGTTTGATGCTCTCTTGTCTCTTTTTGAAATGGTTCTATATGCATGACTTAATAATGGATGGTTTCACAAACAACTCTATGATTTATGTTTTTTTTTAGGTTCGAGATGTGAGGATGATTTCTGATAGAAATTCAAGACGTTCCAAAGGAATTGCTTATGTGGAGTTTGTTGATGTTAGCTCAGTGCCTCTAGCAATAGGATTAACTGGCCAACGGGTTTTAGGAGTGCCAATCATAGTACAGGCATCACAGGTAATCTCTTTCTTGGTTAAGAATTTGATTATTAATCAGGAATTCTATTTAAATTCTCTTTAATTCAGTAGAATATAATTGATAGTACTGAAAGCCTCCTGTTGCTGGGTTTTGTGATATAGGGTCCTGTGCCTTACACACATTGATAACCACTAATTACCATGAGTCAGGTTTTCTTTTTTTTTTTTGAGTTGGAGTCTCACTCTGTCGCTCCGACTGGAGTGCGGTGGCCTCTCCCGGCTACTGCAACCTTGACCTGCTGGGCTCCGGCGATCCTTCTGCCTAGCGTTCCGAGTAGCCAGAATTACAGGCATGCGCTACCACGCCGGGCTGATTTTTTGATTTATTGTAGAGATGAGGTTTCGCCAAGTTTCTCAGGTGGGTCTCGAACGCGCAGGCTCAGGCAATCCACTCACCTCAGCCTTCCAAAGCGTGGGATTACAGACAGAGCCACCGAGCCTGCCTATGAGTCAGGTTTTCTTAGGACCATTTTGGTTTTGTTTCACCATGCCTTGATTATGTTGATATATGGTGTTAATTGCATCCTGCTCTATTTTAATATAAGTTGCAAATATCTATTTCATAAAAAAGACTTGAGCTTAGTTTAGAGTTTTAATTTCCAATGGTTTATTAGTAAGGGATAGAAACGTCTAAAAATAGAAGCACAGCTGTGGTGGCTCAAGCCTGTATTTCCAGCACTTTGGGAGGCCAAGGTGAGAGGATTGCTTGAGCTCGGGTTTGAGACCAACCTGGGCAATTTGATGGAACTTCGTCTCTATAATAAATCAAAAAATTAGCCGGATGTGGTAGCGCACACCTGTATTTCCAGTTACATGGAAGGCTGAGGTGGAAGAATTGTGTAAGCCCAGCAGGTTGAGGCTGTGGTGGCCATGGGCATGTCACTGCACTACAATCTGGGTGACAAAGCGAGGCTGACTCAAAAAATATATATATACAACTTGGATGTCTTCTCAGAACATTCTAAAATTTGCTGTGTTTGCTGGCACACTCCTGTAATCCCAACTCCTTAGGTAACTGAGGTGGGAGGATTCCTTGAGCTTAGGAGTGAGGAGTGCAAGACCAGCCTGTACAACACAACATGAAACTCAAAAAAACACGTTTTTTTTCTGAGTTGGGAGTCTCACTCTGTCGCCCTGACCGGAGTGCAGTGGCACGCTCCTGGTTGCCGCAGCCTCGACCTGATGCGCTCCAGCTCTCCTTCCATCTCAGCCTTCCAAGTAGCCGGAACTACAGTCGTGCACTACCATGCCTGGTTAATTTTTGATATATTGCAGAGACGAGGTCTTGCCAAGTTGTCGGGGTGGGTCTCAAACCTGCTGGCTCAGGAAATTCACTCTCCTCGCCCTCCCAAAGTGCTGAGATTACATGTTGACCCACCGAGCCTAGCCAAAAAGAAAAAAAAAATCTTTATTTTTAAAAATTTAAACCTTTAATCCAATAGAAAAAAATTTCCAAAATTTTATTATTGTGTAAAAGCATGTAACATGCAGCTCCTCCTTTAATTTTAATTTTTTAATTTTTTTGAGTTGAAGTCTCACTCTGTCACCCAGACTGGAGTGCAATGGCCGCTCCCGGCCACTGCAGCCTTGACCTGCTGGGCTCCGGCGATCCTTCCACCTCAGCCTTCCAAGTAGCTGGAATTACAGGCATGCGCTACCATGCCCGGCTGATTTTTTGATTTATTGTAAAGATGAGGTCTCGCTGCCCAGGCGGGTCTCGAACCCATGGGCTCAGGCAATTCGCTCACCTCAGCCTCCCAAAGGCGCGGGATTACAGGCTGAGCCACCGAGCCCGGCTATTTTTTAATTTTGAGTTGGAGTCTCACTTCGTTGCCCAGACCGGAGTGCAGTGGCACGCTCCCAGCCACCGCATTATCGACCTGCTGGGCTCGGAGGATCCTTCTGCCTCAGCCTCCCTAGTAGCCGGAACTACAGGTGCATGCTACCACGCCCAGCTAATCAGTTCCTCATTTTAATCATTTAATGTGCCAGTAATTATATTCATTGTTGTGTAATAGCCTTAATATCCATTTCTAAAACATTTGATCTTCTCAGATAGAAATTGTAAGAACACCTCATTCACTTCTCCTCCTGGCAAGTGGTAACCCCTGGTATACTGTTGGTCTCTAGAATTTTCCTCTTCTAGATGGATGTTTCACATATGTGGACCCATGCAATGTCTGTCCTCTTTTTTTTTTTTTTGAGTTGGAGTCTCACTCTGTCGTCCAGACTGGAGTGCAGTGACCACTCCCGGCCACCACAGCATTGACCTGCTGGGCTTCGGTGATCCTTCCGCCTCAGCCTTCCAAGTAGCTGGAACTACAGGCGCTGCTACCACGCCCGGCTAACTTTTGATTTATTGTATAGATGAGTTCTAACCAAGTTGCCCAGGCGGATCTCAAACCCATGGTCTCAGGCCATCCACTCACCTCAGCCTCCCAAAGGCGCAGGATTATAGGCTGAGCCTCCGAGCCCTGCTATCCTCTTTTTTTTTTTGAGCTGGAGTCCCAGTCCACTGCCCAGGCTGGAGTGCAGTAGCATGCTCAGGTCATCATGTTGACCTGCTGGGTTTCAGTGATCCTTCCACCTCAGCGTTCCACATAGTCAGAACTATAGGCGTGCCCTACCACATTTGGCTAATTTTTTATATATTGTGGAGACGAGGTCTCACCAAGTTGCCTGGGTTGGTCTAGAACCCATGGGCTCAGACAATCCACTTGCCTTGGCCTCTCAAAGTGCTGGGATTACAGACAGCTACCAAGCCCAACCTTATTTTTTTTTATTTTATTTTTTTTAAGTCAGAGTCTTAGTATTTAGCCCAGGCTGGCGTGCAGTGGCATGCTCACGACTACTGCAGCCTTGAACTGCTGGGCATAGGTGATCCTTCCGCCTCAGCCTTCTAAGTAGCTGGAACTACAGGCTTCTGCCACCTTGCCCTGCTAATTTTTTGATTTATTATAGAGATGAGGTCTCACCATATTGCCCAGGCTGGACTCGAACCCATGAGCTCAGGCAGTCCTCTCACCTTGGCCTCCCAGAGTGTCAGGATTATAAGTGTGAACCATCACACCTGGTCTTTTTTGTTTTTTGTTTATGTGTTGATGTCTCATTCTGTGCCCAAGCTGGACTGCAATGGCACACTTTTCACCACTGTAGCCTCGACCTACCTGGCTCAGGTGATCCTTCCTCCTGAGCTTTCCAAGTAGCCGAAACTGCAGGCACATGCTATTATGTCCCGCTAACTTTTTGATTTATTGTAGGGATGAGGTCTTGCCAAATTGCCCAGGCTGGTCTCAAACCTGTGGGCTCAGGTAGTCCTCTCACCTTGGCCTCCCAAAGTGCTGAGATTATAGGCATAAGCCACTGTGCCAAGCATATGTTTATCCTTTTTTGTTTTTGTTTTTTTCTGAGTTGGAGTCTCACTGTGTCACCCAGGCTGAACACCAATGGCACACTGCTCATGGACACTGCGGCCTCGAACTGCTGGGCTCAGGTGATCCTTCTGCCTCAGCTGTCCAAGTAGCTGGAACTACAGGCATGCACCACCATGCCCAGCCAATTTTTGATACATCGTAGAGATTAGGTCTTCAAGTTGCCTAAGCTTGTCTGGAACCTGTGGGCTCAGTTAGTCTTCTCACCTTGGCCTCTCATAGTGTTGGGATTATAGGTGTGAGGCACCTCACTTCGCCTGTTTGTCCTCTTTTTTTTGTTGTTGAGTTGGAGTCTCCTTCGCCCAGGCTAGGGTCCAGTGGCTTACTCATGGCCATCCCAGCGTCAATATGCTGGGCTCAGGCGATCCTTCTGCCCCTTCCTTTCAAGTAGCCATAACTACAGGCTTGTGCTACCATGCCTGGCCAATTTTTTGATTTATTTGTAGAGATGAGGTCTCGCCAGGTTGTCCAGGCTGTTCCCGAACCAGTGGACTGAGGCAGTGCCCTCACCTTGGCCTTTCAAAGTGCTGGGATTCTTTATCCTCTTAATGTGTAACTTAGCATGGTGATTTCATCTCTCTACTCTTTGAAAAACTGAAGGTGTGAATGGAATTTAGTTGGTTTCAACTGATGTGTATTACCTCTATTTGATGTATGTTTTGTCTTGTCTTGTAGGCAGAAAAAAACAGAGCCGCAGCAATGGCAAACAATTTGCAGAAAGGAAGTGCTGGACCCATGAGGCTTTATGTGGGTTCATTACACTTCAATATAACTGAAGATATGCTTCGGGGGATTTTTGAGCCCTTTGGAAGGGTAAGTTCAAATTCTTTAATAGATCTTCAGTAATTTCTTGGTCTGTGTATAAATGCATAACAATGTATATCTGCTTAATTATCTTTCTTTGGGATTAATACTAAGGAGGGAATACTTCTGAAAGATATTTGTGACAACTTAGATTACAATAGGTTACATGGGGTGGGCTTGGTGACTCATGTTTTTATTCTTAGCAATTTCAGGGGCATGCGGATTGCTTGAGTAAGAGTTTGAGATCAGCCCTTGGCAACATAGCGAGATGTCGTTCGTTTTTTTTTTGGTTTTTTTTTTGAGTTGGAGTCTCACTGTGTCGCCCAAACTGGAGTGCAGTGGCCGCTCCCGGCCACCGCATCCTCGACCTGCTGGACTCCAGTAATCCTTCCGCCTCAGCCTTCCGAGTAGCCGGAATTACAGGCACGTGCTACCACGCCCGGCTAATTTTTTTTTTTTTGGTTTATTGTAGAGGTGAGGTCTCGCCAAGTTGCCCAGGCAGGTCTCAAACCCGCGGGCTCAGGCAATCCATTCACCTCAGCCTCCCAGAGGCGTGGGATTACAGGCTGAGCCACTGAGCCCAGCTGAGACGTCGTTCTTAACAAAAAAATTAAAACATTAGTTGGGCACGGTGGTATGTGCCTATAGTCCTAGGTACTCAGGAGACTGAGGTCGAAGGATTGCCTGAGGCCAGGTGTTTGACGGTGCAGTGACCCAAGATTTTGTCACTGCAATCCAACCTTGGCAACAGAATGAGACGTCTGACTTAATAAAAATGGGCTGGGAATCCTGACCTGTAATTTCAGCACTTTGGGAGGTTAAGGCAGGAGGATCACTTGAAGTCAGGAGTTAGAGATCAGCCTGGACAACATAGTGAAATTTTTGTCTCTATAAAGAAACCCAACCTAACAAAATAATAGGTTACTTGAAAGAAGATAAGTGAAGGTAGAGAATTTGTTATTGTTACTCATATTGCTGCATAATGAGCATTAGATCATTTTAAAAAATCTGAGTTAAAAGTATACTAGTCTGGTTTGGTGGCTCAGCCTGTAATACCTCGCCTTTGGGAGGCAGTGGTGAGTGGATTGCCTAAACTTGCGCATTCGAGACCCGCCTGGGCAGCAAGACCTCATCTCTACAATAAATCAAAAAATCAGCCGGGCGTGATAGCGCATGCCTGTAGTTCTGGCTACTTGGAAGGCTGAGGCGGAGGGATCGCCGGAGCCCAGCAGGTCGAGGAA